CTCTATTTAGCTAGAAAAGAAATGTCAAACATGGAGCCCACGGGCTCGAATCTGATTAAAATGTAATTGGGAAATGTTCTTGAAAAAGTCTCTACCTGATTGATGCCTTCACTTCCTTATTACCTTCTGCTTCCTCCCCTGGCTTTCATCCATACCACTATACTCAAAATGCTCTCTCAAAGATCACAGGATTATAGATTTCGAACTGGAAGGAACCTGATAGCAAAGGTGACTTGTTATGATCCTCTCATGCTACAGATGAGGAAACATGAGGCCCAGAGCTACGATTTAAATTCCAGACCCACAATTCCAAGTTCAGTCCTCAAAGTTCAATGATCTTTCCACTAGTACTAAAACCCAATAATTTCTTTTCCTCATTTTTTCATACTCTTTGAGCTCTATCACATTGGACAAGGCTAAAGACAAAGCTAAAGAGAGGCAACATGGCGGTGCTAAAGAGTACTGCTCTTGAAATTAAGAGACCTAAGTTCCAATTGTGGTGCTGACACGTGGGCTATGTGACCTTGGGCAAATTCTTTAGGCTTTTGTTCCTTCACCCATAAAATGAGAATTTAATATATGTACTGTTTACCTCACAAAGTTGGGTATGTCAAGGGCTTTGCAAACCTTGAAATGCTACATAAATTTAAGTTAATATTGTGTGAGCTAGTTGGTGAAACAATCAGATTTAAAACTTCACTCTCCTGACTCTCAGTTCAGCGAGTTTTCCATCATAGCAAACTATCCTATTGAACTCCATGGTTAGCCTAGTATAGTGCTCCTCCAGAGGAAGGCACTCTAGGTATTTATTAAATGTATTTATTAAATCCATCAAATAATTATTATGTACTTGCTATGTGCTAGGCACTAGAATCAGTAAGGCTAAAAGGAAATCGAGCCTGCCCTCAAGGAGCTTGCATTATGTTGTGAGAAAACAATGTGAACATGGATAAAGAGTATCCATATATTGAATAATTTGGGGAGGGGAAAGAGCTAAAAACTGGGAAGATGTTTATATGCACCTCTCCATCGATGTAGTCTTCTGTCAGTTGGCTTCTCTGTCAGGTTAAAGACCATCATGTTTCGGTCTTCATGATTTAGGCCCCGTCATGCCTCTTAGTAAAAGGATTTGTTCTGTGTGTGAAGTTTGGATTCAGTCAAAGGGCTGCACTTGAGGACCTAAATGGTCACATGTGGCCTTGAAGCTCCAGGTTCCCCACCTCTGATTTAGGAGTTTTCGCATGGAATAGTTTTGTTTGAATGGCTTTAATAGTAATCTGTAATGGTTACTTGGTTTGGTTTGTGATTCAGTTACACGACTGATGATTATTCTTCCCTGTTGGCATTCATAGGTGTAGAGGACAAAGCACATTCATAAAAATGTTTTCTTAAGAGTATTTATTATCAAATTGTAAGTTACTGGCATTAAAAATAGATTCACGTGTCATGGACCCTATCTTTTCTTTTAACTTCGAGGGGGTGCTGGCTTAGAGAACAAGAAATTCCTTCCATTCCATTCTGTGTTTTACAGAGCATCTCAGAAGTATGACTCAGTGCTGTGAATAATGTAGTATAGCAGTGGACTTGGAGTCAGAAGATCTGGACTAAAAGCCATAACTAGGGATTCTGTACCATAGGACTAAGTCAGGTATAGAGTGGAGGTTGTGGTCCAGGTCAGTGGTGTCAAACTCACATGGAAATGAAGGCCACTAAACCATACACAAGGATCCCCGTGAGCAAAAGGGAAAAACCACACACCAGTATTATCTCTGTTTTACTGAATTTTAAAATGTGTTTCGTTAAGTATTTGCCAGCTACCTTTTCATCTGGTTTGGGAGTGCTGTTGGGCCCCATGCAGCCTGGGTATTTGACGCCTCTTTTCCAGGGTGCTGCTTCCTAGGCCAGACCTTGTCTCAGGACTACGTGGTTTCCGTGCTACCTTTCTCCTTGAACTGAACATAACCCCACCCCTTTTCCTGGAGGTCCAGTGGCCCTGAAGTGCTGCCTCTCCTTGTGTGGAGAGGTGGAGCCTCTACTCTTCTCCCCTTTCCTGGGTAAAAGATTACTATAGGGAGAAAGCTTCCCCCTCTTAGATGTTGGTTTTGTTCTTCAGTCATTAACAGTCGTGTCTGACTCTTCATGACCCCATTTGGGGTTATCTTGGCAAAGCTCCAGCTCATTTTACAGATGAGAAAACTGAGGTAAATAGAGTTAGGTGACTTGTCCAGGGTCACAAGCTAGTAAATGTCTGAGGCTGAATTTGAACTCATGGTGATCAGCCTTCCTGACTCCAGGCTTGGCACTCTTTCCGTGGCACCACACAGTATCCTGGGACAAAATCTCAGTTGTCCTTCTCAAATGACAAGTTTGCTTTGGATTGACTTGGCTGTGACACTAATTGTCTGGGTTACCTTGGGCAACTTTTCACAACTATGAAATGAAGAGATTGGACTCGATGACACTGGAAATCCTTTTGAGCTACAAATATACCATTATATGATTCTAAGACCCTTAAACTCTGGGCTTTGGTGCCTTCCTCACGTAGAATGGAGATAGCGATGACTACCCTGCACAAAATTCTTATTAGGGTCAAATGAGAAAATATATGTAGAAGCACTTGGAAAACCAAAAAGTGCTATACAAATGTGGGATTTATCATCTTTATGTTTTTTTTCATAATAATTAGTTAACATCTGCGCTCGGAAATCACTTAAAACTTGTGCAAGTTTCACTTGTACCCTGGTGAAAACTCACAAGGTATAGTGTGGCATAATATATAGAGCGCTGGAATGAGTCAGAAGGGACTGGGTTCAAATCCTCAGACACCTACTAATTATGGGATCCTTGGGCAGTCATTCAAACTATTCTCTGCCTCAGGTTCCTCATCTGTAAAATGGGGAGGGAAGAGCACTTTGGACTCAGTTACCTCAAGGTCCCTTCCATTTCTCCATGTATGATCCTAGGATCTTTCAACATCTCTTCACATGATGATCTAATACTGTTTCCTGCTGTGAAAAGGTCAGATGTGCTTCAGGAATAATAATATGACAGAAAGTTAGTCTCTCTTTAAGACTCTGTGGATTCTAACGAAAATGTCACCTACTGAAATCAGATGCTGCGTCTCTATATACACAACCCAGGACAAACACAGCAACACGGTAGTTTAATTCAGTTAAACAACTTGTTATTGACTGGAGGCAACCCAGTTGGCAATTAACCCATTTGTCTGAATTAAACATTTTATTTGAAGGCCTGTGGATATGTGTGTAAATGGCACAAGCAGGAGCAATACCCAGCACCAGGAAAGGAAATCTAGCATTTTTATGTATTCACGAGTGTCTCATTGTATAAACATTTGAAACTAAAGTAACGCCTTATGCAACACAAAGCCAACATAACATAGATTTTTGAACTAGAATTGACCTGAAAGGTCACCTAGTCTAATCCTCTTATTTTGTCTTCAGCACGGTATAATGGATAGCATGCCATTCTCAGTCAGGAAGACATGACTTCATATGCCACCTCTGATACTAACTGTATGTCCATGGGCAAGTCACTTAACCTCTATAAGACTCAGGCAACTCTCTGAGATTTATGATGTTTTATACGGGTGGCAATCTGTCTTCATGTGAAGAGTTCCCATTCTAATAGAAGCCTTGCTTATAAATACAACTAGGTGAAATATTGACAGTGGGATGGAGAATTTTTTTTTGACAATATGTTCTGCATCCTGCTAGAATTAAGTCATCCTTTATATTATCTCTTGATGTGTTCATGCTATTCCCTCTAAGAATCTACTTCTTTGGGACAGCTAGGTGGCACAGTGGATAAAGCACTGGCCTTGAAGTCAGGAGGACCTGAGTTCAAATGTGGCCTCAGACCAAACACTTGATACTTACTAGCTGTGTGACACTGGGCAAGTCCTTAAACCCAATTGCCTAAAAACAAACAAAAAACAAGCAAGCAAACAAAAAAGAATCTATTTCTTTGATTCTACCATCATGTCTGTGGTGTCACATCTTACTCATTGACTGAGAAGTGATAGGTACTCCCCAGGATCATTGATCACAGCATACCTGTCCCAGCTATTAGTTCCAATCTCTTCCTTATACTGAGGGTCATTGTTGACGTAGAGGTGTAAGGGACCTCAAAGACCATCTAGTCTAATCCCTTTGTTATAAGCAGATCTGACTCAAGCCAGCATGGTGTTTTATGTTTGGAACTATAATGAAATGAGACATTCATAGACTATCTAACAATTAACAGAAAGAGGATTATTTAGGCATACCAGGGAATGGATTTGCAATAAAGATACTCAATAGGGTGCATATTCCCTACTTCTGTGGTGGCTGTGCTTGGTCAGAAGTCTTAGGGAAGAGCAATTCCTTCTTCCTTATGGGCTAGCTTTGGTCAGGCAACCAAGAAACCATATGACAGTCTTGAACTTTGCTCAAGTATAGTTTAAATACCTTTAAAGGAAAAAAAAATGAAGTAACTAACCTAGCCTACCAAGTAAATATTGCTCTTACCTCACCCTTTGTTTTCTAGTTTTATAGATATGGAAAGTGATTTATTTAAATGACTTTATCCAATATTTCACTGTTGGAATGCATGAGACATAAGAATTGAAACAAGGGCTTCTGAGTCCAGAGTAAGGACTCTTTCTCTGGGCCTATGAGTACTGCACATGGTTCATATTCTTTCCCAAATGATCCCCTTCCAAAGGTAATGATTCTCTAAATCCAATTTTGCAATAATGAAAAAATACTTATTATATATTAAGATAACATTTCCTCTCACCTATAGGATCAAAGCCTCACACACACCATGAAACAGAGTGTAAGACTAAAATCTAGCAATGAGTACTCTTAATTATAATACTCTGATTTGTGCATAAAAATGTAGTTAGATTGACTGTATAGGCTTAAAAATGGAAATATATTAAATAGAGATTGTCTTTCTATGATTAACATAAACATTTACATTTCCCCCCTTTCCAGCAACCATCAACAGATCTAGAATTTGATCGGATAGTGATTTACACCACTTGCCTTCGTGTGGTAAGAACGACTTTTGAAAGGTGTGAACTCGTTAGGAAAATCTTCCAGAATCATCGAGTCAAATTTGAAGAGAAAAATATTGCTCTTAATGGTGAATATGGAAAAGAGCTTGATGAGAGATGCAGGAGGGTGTCTGAAGCACCTTCTCTGCCTGTTGTGTTTATTGATGGCCATTACCTTGGGGTAAGTACTCTACGAGGGAAATGAGCTCTTTTATTTTAGTTTTTATTTGGTTTTTTTGCTGGCAAGGGGGTTAAGTGGCTTGCCCAGGGTCACATGGCTAGTAAGTGTCAAGTGTCTGAGGTCAGATTTGAACTGAGGTCCATCTAGCTCTAGGGCCAGTGCTCTATCCACTGTGCAACCTAGCTGCCCCAAAATGAGGCTCTTTTAAAACCTGTTATAAGATGTGCAGAATTCTATAAGCCCTTGGAAAGGCGAAAGGAAAACACAAGCTAGAATTTTTCTTTCTTTTGGAACTTGAAACAGAGGCAATGAAAGAGTTATTTCTACTCCAAATCAGTGAGTTGATAAGACTATTCATCCCTGAGAAGCTTGAGAATAAGGTAAAGTCAGCATGAAATTGCCTTTTGAAATGTATTACTTATGGAAAAGAACAAGATTGGTGGCTGACACGACTCCATATTAGGAAGTTTTCAGAACCATATTAGAATTAGGCTTTTTCAGTGCAGGCAAAAAGATGCATTATTTAAAAGATGCATGTGATTTTATTGTGGCTCATGACCTGGTGCTCTGGTTCCTACCTGATGAACATAGGATGATCCTAAAATAGAATTATTATAAAATGGGTTTCAGGAGGACAGGCTTTTAAAACTGCTATTTGTCAAAAAATTTATTCTTGAATCTGACCATGTCTGCACTGGGAAAAAAATAGATATAAGATTAAGGCAGGAGCAATGAAATAATCATCCCTGGCAATAATACAGCATATTTACTTCCCATCTCTATGAAAAGTATTGTATAATTAAATGTTATTTATTAAAATGTTATTGTCTGAAATACATGACATTAGAAAAAACATCCTTAAGATTCTCCTCAGGAGAAGTAGTCATGATACCTTTGTTTGTAATAGCAAGGAATTGAAAACAACTCAAATGTCCAAAAATTGGAGATCAATTAAAAAAAATGATGTTCTATCATTCTAATAGGATGTCATTGGGCCATAAAATGACAAGTATGAAGAATATAATATTTTTGATATTTAAATAGTTTTCTGATCATTATGAGATGATGAGATCAAAACTTGAATGGCAACTAATTAATTTCCTTTCACATGAGCTACTCTTGTCCATGTCCTCCCATAAACACTCCACAGAGGGTTCACCTAACGTGGAAAGAGTTTTCCTCTAATTCTCTTGACATTGTATGCATATCAGCAGAGCAAGTGGTCTGTCTATTGGTATCCCCTAAAGCCTATAGCATGACTAATCCATGATAAGACATAGAAAAATGAATTTTAAGTGATTCAGAATGAAGAACTCACAATAAACTCATAAACATTTATTAAGCACTTATTAGGTGCTAAGTATTGTGTTAAGCCTGGAAATACAAATACAAGCAGAAAGAAACAATGCCAACCCTCAAGAAGCTTACAATTCTGATGAGGGAAGACTGCACCTAAAGGAAGTTGAAAAAAAGAGGTGGGAAGTACAGTCAGGAGAGGAATAAAGACATGTCTGGCTTAGGCACCCTCCTTAAATGTAGGCTTGGTATTCCAAAAATCTTAGTGCAGCTTAGAACTGTGATTTTTGGGTTGCCCTGTATCTATATAGCACAATGGTAAAAGTATGCTGAGTACAAAAGTGAAGAAGAACCAGAAAAGGACATAAAGCCAATAAAACTATGTTATCATTTTGATAAAGTTTAAATATATATATATACACACATACATATATATTTGGCAATCTATACATTGTTGGTTTTTTATGTCTTATTAAGCTTATTTATTTTATAGACATTTTTGTTGTATATTAAAATCATCTAAAATAAAAATGGGCAGTGAAAAAAAAAACCTTGGGGCAAGGAGATTATAAAGTAGGAATGAAGAAAGAGATAATTAATTATAAGTTTACAAAGGTTGTCAACCAGTAGGTGGATATTTGAGTTTTAGATTTGTTTAGCAACTGGCTCTTTTGAATTTCATGAATATGCCTCAAATTTAAAGTGCTCAAGAATGTACTGAGTTACAGAATGACGCTCTCTTATGTTTCTTCTGAAAATTGAAGTTGGAAAAATGGAAAAGTTGAAACATAGCATTTGTCAGCCAAAAAAAGATACAGTCTTCCTAGGGAGGCCCAGCCCCAGGGATGGAGTAGATATACTTTGTCCTGAGGTGCCCCCGGCTCTTCTTCCTGTACTCTTTTATCTTCTCACGTGCTATTGCTGTATCTTCAGGTTCTGTCTTTTCTCTCTTATCAATATCTGCTTACAGGCAAGTATCTACATTTACACTAATGGGTAAATGATTGATAGGGTTTAAAGTCTAATATTTTTCAGGTTATTTGCATTTTAACAAGGAAGATCACTCTAAGAGAATCTTAAATTGCAAAATATCAGGGAGAATGTGGCAGTCCTAATTTTTTTTGGGGTGGGGAAGGGCAATGGGATGTTCTTAATATACTGGAAAATATATTACATAGTCTGACACCCATAGCGTTTAAAGTTTCCCCTTGACTTTTGCATTTCTCTGGCTTCCTGCTCACTGTAAGAATCTTTTTTTCTTCTTTCATGAACCTTTTATAGTTTAGAACAAAAACAGCAGGGTACAATTTCATTACTGGTTTTTGCATTTCAATTTGAGGGATGACAGTAGAATGTTATGGACCCATGCAGCAAAAGGCAGGTTGATGTCTTTATTGCCCTTTGCCTGTGATCATTCTCTTTGCACATATTATTAAGTTCAGGCAGATGAAAGTGTTCACAATTCCCCTTTGCTTCTGCCAGTTAACTTGAATACCAACACCCCAGAACATCCAAGAGCATTTGGTTTGTTCCCCCCCCAATCATATTGATCTCTATTTCCTTCTTTTAAAAAAATTACATTTTATTTTTAATGCATAAGTATTTATTTTCTAAACCTCCCACTTACCCCCAATTTAAAAGAAAAAAGAAAAACAAAACCCTTGTAACAAAAATGTGTAGTGAAATAAAACAAATTCCCACATCGTCCATATTCAAAAATGTTACGTCTCATTTTCCATTTTGAACCCATCACCTCTCTATCATCTTGAACCCATCCCCTCTGTATCATCTGGAATCCATCACCTCTGTGTCATCTTGAATCCACACTATCTCTGGGGCAGCGTACTTCATCTCAGGACTTCTGCATCGGTCAGAATTCTTAATTCTTTCAAAGTTGATTGTCTTCGTAATGATGTTCTGATAGAAATTGTTCTACTTACATCACTCTACATCATTCCATATAGTTCTTCACAGGTATTTCTGAACCAATCCTTTTCAACATTTGTCATGGTACAGTATTATTCCATTACCTTCATATACCATAATTTCTTAATTTATTTCCCAATTATTGGGTGTATACTTAGTTTCCATTTCTTTGACGCTACAAAATGACCTGCTACAATTATTTTGTATATTTGGATACTTTTATTCTTTTTTAAAATCTCTTTTGCACATCGGTCTAGTAGAAGTATCACTAGGTTGAAAGGTATATACACACTAGTGACTTTTTGATTATAGTTCCAAATTGCTTTCTAGACTGGATCAATTTACAACTCCATTAATAGTGGCATGGGTGTACCTATTTCCCCACAGACCTTCCAACATTTGTCATTTTCCTTTTTTTGGTCAGTTTTGCTAGTCTGAGGGGTGAGAGGGAAAATGTCAGAGGTGCTTTAATTTACATTTATCTAATTATTAAAATTTTATGAAAATGTTTTTCATATGGTTATTAATAGCTTGGATTGAAGAACTGCCTGTTCACAGTGTTTGAACATTTATCAATTGGAGGATGGCTCCTATATTTTAAAAGAGAGGAACTGCCTCAATAAGATTATAAGGGTTATTTTTTCCCCAGCTACAATTGTACCTTTATTTCATATCTAATGTAAAAGCCATAAGTAAGGAACCGTTTCTTGAAAGATTCATGCATCTGAAATGGAAGGATGCCCTCTACTGGGCTCTGACATGTAATGGAAAATAATTTTTAGGGAGCAAAAGAAATTGATACTGGTAGAGAAGCAGCAGTGGGGAACCTCTTAAATTTATACTGAATTTTCTAAAGTAAGAAAATGTACATACGTGGAATCTTCTTTACTAGATATACAGCCACCTTCTTTAGTAGTGACAAATGATGGATAACTCCTAGGATTTAATAGGCAGCATCACATGTTAAATAGGGCACTGGACCCAGAGTCAGAAAGACTGGATTCAAACATTTCCTCAGACACTTACATGATGGACGGCTCTGGAAAGATCACCTACCCACCCTCTCTTAGCCTCAGCTTCCTTATCTATAAAATGAAGAGGTTGATCTCTGAAGTCTTTTCCAGCTTTAAATTTTTGATCCTCTTGTTTAGAGCTAGATGAAGAGGGGGAAAGAAGGAAAAAACAGACCCAGAGAGAAACATGGAGACTTCTAAGTTTACCTGTTATATTGCTTCTGTCTTTAGAATTCTTGGATAATTTTTCTTATCAAAGAAAATAGTTATAAAAATAGAAAGCTTCCTATTTAGCTAATAATATACTTGAACTTCAACATAAAATAATGGATTAGGTTCCATACCCTGGGGATACAGAACCATATGGTGCCAATAAAAGGAGGAAGAGGAAAAAAAAAAGAGAATTCTCTCCTTTTGCTTTCTGGAGCTCATGGTTAGTGTAGCTAAAATTTTGAAATTAAGAAAGTTTATTTTTCCCATTCTCTTACTTCTCTTTCTGTGTTTCTCTATCATCAACCTGTTACTCTCCCTAGGAATATTTTGTTTTCATGTTGTCCTTAGCCCTCTCCCCAGGCTAGATTTTCAATCTCCCAAATTATCTACTTCTCTTCTCCTCTAGTCAAAACGCTCCTTATCTGAATGCATCTAATCTCGTTTGAATTTTAGGGGGGAAAAATAATTTATTCATATTAATGATAAAGATAGAATTTATTCACAGTAATGTGAATGACTGACATGTCCATGATCCTTTTTAAATAGAATACT